TGTGTATTCGCTTTTGTTAGTGTTAGTTTCTATTTTCTTTATTTCCACTCTAATACTATTTCTTTCCTTCTGTTGATTTAGGGATTAGTTTCTTTTTCCTTTTAAATATTTTTGAGATGCATTGTCAGCTTGTTTATTTTGTGTCTTTATATTCTGATGTAAATTGTTTATTGCATCTCTCAAAGTATTTCTTTTATGGTAGCCCATAGGTTTGACGGATAGTGTTTCCATTTTAGTTGGTTTCAAGGAATTTTTACATTTTCCTTTTCATGTCTTCTATTACCTGTTGTTCATGTGGGAATATGTTGTTCTGTCTGTATGAATTTGGATAATTTTTAGAATGTCTTTCATTGTTAATTTCTAGATATACTCTGTTTTGATCTGAGAATATGTATGCCATGATTTTGATTTTTTAAAAATTGTTGATACTTCTTTTGTGAAACTCTGATGTTTCTTTGGTTCTGTTTGTTTGTTTTGTGCCTGAGTGATATGTCCACGGATGAAAGTGGGTTCTTGAAATCCCCAGCTGTTACTGTGTTGCAGCTTACCTTTCACTTTAGGTTTAATCATGGTTGTTCGATAAAGTTGTGTGTTCTGGTATTATGTACAGACATATTTTTCTTGAATTAGCCCTTAATGTTATAACGGTGACTTTTTTTGTCTCTTTTGATAGCTTTATTTTTTACGTCTCTCTTTTTTTTTGATATAAAAGTTGCAACTGCTTATTTTTGGTTTTCATTTCTCTGAAATATCCTTGTCCATTCTTTTGTTTGTCAAACTATGTATGTATTTTCTTGTGAATGCTTTTATTATAGGCAGGATATTGTTGGTCTTGTTTTTAATCTATTTAGCCAGTCTGCATGTCTTAATTGGGGAATTTAGACCACTTATTCTCAAAGATATTAATGATAGGTAATGACCTAGTCCTATCTTTTTTTTTTTAAACTTCCTTCTGATTGTTTTAAAAATCCTTTGTTCTTTTTTGGTTGAATATTATAGTTTTATATGCTTTCATAATGTTGGTTATTATTCTTTGTTTATGGTTCTAGAATCTTTATCATCTTTTCTAATGCTGGTAATGAATTCCTTTCATTCTTGTTTATCTTGGAAAGTCTTTATTTCCCCTCATTTATGAAACATAACTTCACGAGATAAAATTTTTTTGGTTAGCAGATGATTTCTTTGCAATCATGGAATATTTCATTCCATTCCCATCTGATCTGTAGGGTTTCTGTTGAAAAATCTTCATTGATTTAATGGGTTTTCCTTCATTGTGACCTGGTATTTTCTTTTTTATTCCCCTCTCACTCCCCCTGGAACTATTTGTTAAAAATATTGTCTTTTTAAAAGTTTCATTGATAATTTTTAAATTAATATACAGAGAACAGTTTTTATGTATTCCATAAGTAAAATTCCAAGAAGACAACCACACTTCCCTTACACCCTTACTCCCCGACAATCTCTTCCCTTCCTTCCCTCTCTTCCTCAGTTTTTACGAAGACATAAATTTAATCCACTCTAGATTCAAAGGCTTTATTTGCCACTAATCATAATATTGAACAAGTAAAAAATAGGAATATCACAGTTCCACAGGAGTTTAAAAAGGGCTAAAAACGACAATCATTTCCCAAAATTACCATTTCATTCCTCAACATTTTTTGGTATTCTATATTAACTGCCACATATCAGAGTAAGCATATTTGTGTTTTTCAGACTGGCTTATTCCACTAAGCATAATGGTTTCCAGTTGCATCCATTTTGTTACAAAAGACAAGATTTCATTCTTTTTTATAGATGAGTAGTATTCCACAGTTTCTTCAACCAGTCATTACTTGTTGGACATCTGGGTTGATTCCACATCTTAGCTTTTGTGAATTGAGCTGCAATAAACATAGGGATACACATGACTCTTTCATATGCTGATTATGGGATTTCCTTTAAAGTAGGCTGGTATTGTAATTTAGAATTTTATTCTTTATTTTTTATTTTTAAAACTTTTTGAATTTTTAATTTATATAGGGTGAATATATTTCATGTATTTCATATATACAGATTTAAGAACTCCACTAAATAAAGAATTCAAAAAATAATAAGTAGAAAAACTACTGTTCCTCAAGAATCTAGACAAGTGCTGTAGTATTAATCAAATCTCAAAATGTCAGTTTTGTTCATATATATTACATATTTTGTACTTTATATATTTGAAATCAAAAATCAGAGAAAACATGATATTCTGATGTGATAAGGTTATTTTTAATGTGTTTAATTAGGGTCCTATACTTGGACATCTTTATCTTTCTCTAGATTGGTTGAGTTTTACCGCTATTATGCCATTGAATAATTTTGTAGGTCTCTTCTCCTTTGTTTGCTACTAGGAATTCTTATACTTTGAATATTTGTTCTTTTAATGTTGTCCCACATATCTCAGAGTCTGTCTTCAATCTCTTTTTTTTTTCTTTTTACCTTGTTTTGATATGTGTGGGATATTTCAAAAGACCTATCTTCAAGTTCAATTCAGATATTCTGTTTTCTGACTGACCTAATCAGGAGTTGATGGTTTCAGATGTATTTTTAAATTTGATTTTCACAGCACTTAATTCTAAGATTTATGTTTGATTCTCATTCCAGATCTCTCTTTGCTGAATTTCTCACAATATTCACATTGGTTCCCTAACTTACGTGTTTACCTGTATTCCCATGCATCTTTTTTGATCATTGTTGTAACACTTCTCTTGAATTCTTCACCTGCTCTTTTGTCAATCACCTTTTCCATGGGGTCTGATGTTAAAGTGTTATTTTATTCTTGTGGTAGGATAACATTTCCTTATTCTTTCATATTCCTTATGTCATTATGTGTATTTTTGTGCATATGGCAGATCAGTTATACCTATAACTTTTAAAGGATGGCTTTTGTGGATTGAAGTCTTTTTCCCTGAAGATATAATTTCTTTTTTTTTTTAATTTTGGATGTTTCTTAGGTAGTAGAGTTATAGACAGTGAGAGAGAGTGACAGAGAGAAAAGTCTTCCTACTATTGGTTCACTTCCCAAATGGCCGCCACAGCTGTTGCTGCTCCGATCTGAAGCCAGGAGCCAGGTGCTTCTTGCTGGTCTCCCATGCAGGTGCAGGGGCCCAAGCACTTGGGCCATCCTCCACTGTCCTCCCGGGCCACAGCAGAGAGCTGGACTGGAAGAGGAGCAACCGGGACTGGAACCTGGCGCCCATAATGGGATGCCGGTGCTGCAGGCGGAGGATTATCCAAGTGAGCCAAGGCACCGGCCCCATGAAGATATAATTTCAAATTTCAGTTTAATGGCTACCTCAGTTATGTTCACATTGAACACCAAAGTTTAGTAACTATCATTTTTCACTGTTAATGGCTATAGTAGCATCAAAGGTATGGGAGGTTCCTCTCAATCCCAACAGGGGCAAACATGTGTTGGTAGTGTGACTAGGGTTTGGCAGTGCCATATTCAAATCTGGGGACTGTTTTCTCTTACATCTGAAAACACCAAAGCCAGAACTTACTTGGATCATGGTGAGACTGGAGTCCAAAGCCAAGGATTTGCAGAATAAAGGAGTCGTGTAGACTGGGCAGATGTGTGCAACCAGTCACATACACCAAAACCAAGGTGGGCTCAGACCACAATGGGGTTAGTGTCTGGAATGCTCACCCAAATTAGGGCTCACTGGAGAAGGACACCATGCAGCTTGAGCAACTATGCAGCACCAACTGTACCTAATAGAGCTAGAGCTAGCTCAGGTTGCATTGAAGCTGGAGTCAGTTTTGTTCATCATAGCAAAGGTGGTCTGTAGAAGGAAACTGTACAGCCCAAGCACCTGTGTGTGACCAAAATACCCACAAAGTTGAGGTGGACACAGGCCATGGTGAGCTTGGAATCTAGGTATCACAAAAGCTGGAGCTTACTGGAGAAGTGAACTATGCATCTCAACCAGGTATGTGTGAGCAGACATTCCCACCAAACCTGGGACAGCGGACTGGAATCTAGAGGATTCACCATAATTGAAGAAAGCTTCACATTCCAGATGAGTGTGTGTGATTAACTGTACCCACCAAAGACAGGGTGGCCTCAGACTGTACCAATGCTGGGGTCAGGAGTGCTACTCCTCAGTGCCAGGACGGTTGGAGAAGTGAACCACATTGCCCAGGCAAGTTTGTATGTGAACTACACCCCATCCCTCTGCATTGCTACTGGTTTGGGAAGACAGTTGGAGAGGACTGGCTCTGGTTGTAATCTTTTACTGTGGTGCACTGACATAGGAAGAGAAAGGAAGTAAAGGGGATGGATCCAAGTCTGTAGAGGCAAGCATCCTGGCTTCCAAGATGCTGGGACAGGACTCATCCTGCTGTGCTGAACCAAATGTCCCATGTAGTACAGTACACCCTTCAGCTAAGATGGTGTGGTCACTGTTGCTGCTGGATCTAGTTTGGTTTGTGAGAATACAATCCTTGTTGCTAATATTGTAGAATGTCTTTGAGGTCTCAAAGTTGGGCACGTGAGAGGGATTCTGTCCTCTAGGGTGATCCATACCACCATTGTCTATACCATCAGTGATTTCTTCTTCAAGATAGTGTCATACTGCCACTGTGCCCTGGGGATTTGGGGGAAGAAAACAAGAGTTTGTTTTCTGCAGCAAATCCACCATGTGTATTCTAGGTGGTTCCTATTACTGGGGCCCGAGCTTGTGGAAACCGAATTTTTTCTAAAGTTAAGGTTTTAAATGTTCAATGTCTGTGGAAATGAATCTGCTGGGTCTCTCCTCTCTGCCATTTTCCCTGCAACAAGAATTCTTGTAGATTGTAGGGACTGGAACTCAGTTGTTGTTGTTGGACATTGCTACTCTCTTTAAGCTGCTATCCCATATCTCTCTGTTCTAAATGGTTCTTGGGTGTCCTTTGATGAGCTCCATAATATTCCTTTATACTTTCACCTTGAAGTGAAATTTTCTACTTCCTATTTTGTTCTCTACAGGGGAGAAAATAAACAGTAGATGCCTCTATCTGGTCATCTTGGAGTTCTACAGGGGTATTCAAGGACACAGAATTAAACCTCAGTGCCTGTGCAGCATCCTCTGGAGAGCTGCTGTGCCTGGAATTTCCCCAGGTAAGATGTAAGAACAAATATTATCTCTTGGGCAATGCTATAGTTATTTTACAAAAGATGAAATTAAACGCATACCTTTTATTTATTATCATAAAGGGTGCTAGATAGGCCCCAAACCCCACTTGTATCATAAAATAACAATAGCATAAATACATAGTATTCCATGTGTACATGAACATAAAAAAAGGGAAGCAAGACATAGGAGAGACTCTACCTACTGTTTCTAATTTGAACCAAGCAACTAAACAGAGAAATTATCATCAAGTGTAAAAAATCTCTGAATCATAAGCATAGTATCTTTGAAGAAAAGGAAATGTACTAGGATGGCTGAGGTAGATAGAACTAAATGAAAAGTATGCAATGAAATCATTATGAAAATGAAAGCAAATATTTGACACCTGGGGAAATAATGAGTGAGGAGTAAGCCTGTAATGTAGTCATTCCACTTACACAGAAACATCTATAGAAAAGAAAGAAGTTGGACTAGTCCAATCTGAAAATATGCCTATATACAACCTCTGTGTAACTGCCTGTATTTATTAGTTGAAGAGATTTTGTTTATAGAGTGATTTCTGCAGATATAGCTGGTCTAATTAGAATCACATAGCATTAAAAAAAACCTGGAAATTGATCATGTATAGAGCATAGGTCCAGGAAAATATCATGAACTTGAGAATAAAATGGAGATATTTCACTAAAAATAATGAAAGATTGAGGAAGTAATGTAGCTACATATTTTACTTAGAGAATTATTTGTTAATGTGCAGCAAAGAATATTCCTGTTTGTTCAGAGAAGACATGGGGAGCTGTATGTTAGATCATTTTATTGCTTTGCCTATGCTTCATGGTTCCTTTGTCCTTAAAATTATTAGTAGGGCTTGATACTGAATAAGATTTTTAATTCACATGTATATCATTTTGACTGACTTATCCTTTGTATTATCTAAGGTCTTTAAAACAGCTATTATAAGGATTTAGGTTTTTCTCTTAATGGGATGTAGAGTCATTGGAAAATCCAAGATGGCTGAATAGTGAGAGAAGATGCACTGATTTCAGCAACACAATGATACCACAAAACAAAGGAAGAACTATATTCCCAGGGGGGTTGATTGATGGATTGAAATTTTCAGGGCATAAAAAACAGAACAGAAGCTCCATGGGTCAGAATGGAGAGAACGCACATATGCAGCAGCCCGCTGTTGGCACCAGATAGGAGTAGCCATCTTCACAGGGCAAGGTGAGAAGAGGCTACCAAGGTCCAAACCACTGACGTTTTGACTGAAGGAGAATTCTATGATCCCTGATAACTTTGACTCTTGCATGGGGAGCTTGTGGGGGCAGGGTATCTGCTTTGCTTCCATAAAGAAAGGCCAAATTGCCTCCATTCTCTCCCCTCAATAAAATGTCAGACTTAGTTTCTAAGGGAGAGCTACAAGTGATCTCTGTCCTGACTCAGAGGATGTGAGGAAGCTCATACCAGGAACAGGGCAGTTGCCAACTGAACTTTGGGACTTTGGGAGTTCTGGACATTGGCCACAGGGCTAAGAGAGACACACACATCCTGTCTGACTCTGGAATCTCAGAGATCCCTGAGTGGAGGGCCTATATCTTACGGAAGGCTCAGTGATTGTACCATGGAGTACGTCAATGCTCTCTAAAGTTCATATGCCTGAGTGGGTGGGGTGAGCAGGTGCTATAAACTCACTATAGCCAGTGAATCAGCCGGTTCACTTTGGGATAGAGAAGGGCTGGGACCGTGAACACATCAGCCAGTGTCAACATCCCCTCCTCATACTGACCGTAGTAAGAGGAGCTACACTATACCCAAGTTTGATGTTACCCTGGACTGTTGCCCCACTCAAAAACACAGAGAAACAGTTACATGAATTAAGGAAATCTATACATGACATGGATAAGAAATTCTACAAAGAGATTGAAATATTGAAAAATCAAATAGAAATGCTGGAAATGAAGAATTAAATAGGTCAAATAAAAATATAATGAAAAGACTTAACAACAGACTTCTTTAGAAGACAGGTCTTTTGAAATATTACAGCCAAAAAAAAAAAGAGAAGAAAATACAAAGAAAACAGTGTCTGTGATCTCTGGGATCTATACTCAAACTTTTAAAAGTAAAACATAAAGAAAATATCTTAAAATGTGCAAGAAAAAGAACCCCACCAGATTATTTTCAGAAGATCTCTAATCAGAGTGACAGTAGATTTCTCAACAAGAACCCCATAAGCCAGGAGTGAATGGAGAGACATAGTCAAAGTCAAAAAAAAAAACAAACAAACAAACAAACAAAAAAAAAACAAAAACAAAAACAAAAAAAGAAAACAAAACAAAAACTGCAATCCCAGAATACTGTACCCAGCAAAACTCTCATTCGTAAATGCAAGTTAAAAAAGACCTTCCAAGACAAGCAAATATTCAAAGAATGTGTCACCTCCTGGCCAGCTTTACAAATGATACATAAGGATATACAATACACAGAAAAAAAGAAAGATAATCAGCATCATGAAAGAATATGAAGTCAGTTATCCTCCTAGTTAAAAGAAAAAAAAAAAAAAACAACAACAGGGGGCCGCCACCATGGCTCACCTGGTTAATCCTCTGCCTGCAGTGCCAGAATCTCATATGGATGCCGGGTTCTAGTCTCGGCTGCTCCTCTTCCAGTCCAACTCTTTGCTGTGGCCTGGGAGGGCAGTGGAGGATGGCCCAAGTGCTTGGGCCCCTGCACCTGCATGGGAGACCAGGAAGAAGCACCTGGCTCCTGGCTTCGGATCGGCACAGCGCCAGCCATAGCGGCCATTTGGGGAGTAAACCAACGGAAGGAGGACCTTGCTCTCTGTCTCTCTCTCACTATCTGTAACTCTACCTGTCAAATAAATTAAAGAAAAAAACACCAAAGAGGATTCAAAACAACCAATTGGAATATTTGTGAAAAAATGGCATGATCAAGTCTATACTTATCAGTAATAACCTTGAGTGTAAATGAGCTAAATTCTCCAATTAAATGTTACAGACTGGCTGAATGGGTTAAAAAAGAAACCACATCTCTATGCTCCCTACAAAAAAATGCTTTAACAATAAAGATGCACACATACTGAAAGTTAAAGGATGGAGAAAATGTATTCCATGCAAATTGAAATCAAAATAAGAAGTAGCTTTTTTCATATCAGACAAAATAGATTTTAAGATAAAAACTCTTGATGTGAATGGAAGGGGAGAGGGAGTGGGAAAGGGGAGGGTTGCGGGTGGGAGGGACATTATGGGGGGAAGCCATTGTAATCCATAAGCTGTACTTTGGAAATTTATATTCATTAAATAAAAGTTAAAAAAAAAGATAAAAACTGTTAAAGGAGACAAACAAGGTCATTACATAATGATTAAGGGATTAATTCAAAATGTGACTATAGTAAATGTGTATGCACCCAATGATAGGGCACAGTTGTATAAAGCAAATGTTAATGAATCTAAAGGGAGAATTATGGACCTATACAAAAAAATGGGGACCTTAAAACCCAACTTTTTCAGTGTACAGACTTCCAGACAAAAAGATAAACAAGGAACCAAAGCTAATGTACACTATCGTCCAAATGTACAAAATTGATGACTATGGAACATTACATCCCATAGCTACAGAATACACATATTTTTCATCAGTGCATGGAATATTCTGTAGGACAGACCTATGCTAGACAATAAAGCAAGTCTCAACAAATTCGAAAAAAATTGAAATTACATCATTTATCTTTTCTGACCACAGTGGTGTGGAGCTAGAAATTAATAACAAAGAAACACTAAAAAATATACAAACAGGTGGTGACATAATAGCACGCTCCTTAATGAACAGTGGGTTATAAAAGAATTCAAAATGGAAATTAAAAATTCTTTGAGGTGAATGAATATTAAAATACAACATATCAAGACTTATGGAATACAGCAAACAAGCATTAGGAGGAAGGTTTGTAACAAATAAGGCTGACATCCAAAAACTGGAAAGGATCAAATAAATTATGATAATGCATATGAAGGACCTAGATAAATAAGAACATATGAAACCAAAATTTTGGGGAGTAAAGAAATAATAAAAATTATATAATAAATAAACGAAATAGAAATAAAAAACTATACAAAGATAAGTGAAATGAACTATTTTTTTAAAAAGTAAGCAAAATTGATAAGCCATTGGCCCAACTATATAAAAAATGAGAAGACCCAACTTAATAAAAAGAGATGTAAAAGAAGAGGTTACAACTTGATACTGCAGAAATAATAATATTCATTAGGAATTGGTACAAATAGCTACATACCAACAAATTGGAAATTGTAGATGAAATGGATAGATTTCTGGATACACATAATTTACCAAAACTGAGGCATGAAAACCTAGAAAACCTGAACAATGAAATAACCAAAATGGAGATTAAATTAGGAATAAAGAGCCTCCCAACAAAGAAAACCACAGGAACATATGGCTTCACTGATGAACCCCACAAAACTTTTAAATAAGAGCTAATTTCAATTATTCTTAAACGACCCAAAACAATTGAAATGGAGAGATCCCACCCAAAGTCATTATATTTCAGAAGCCTTAACTTGATTCCTGAGAGAGAGAGAGAGAGAGAGAGCACAGTATAGACCAATATCCCTGATAAACATACTTGTAAAAATCCTCAACAAAATACTAGTAAATTGAATCCAACAACACATCAGAAGATAATCCACCCAGACCAAATGGTATTTATCCCAGGGATGTGGGGATGGTTCAGCATATGCAGACTGTAACCATAATATATCACATCAAAAAAATGAAGGATGAAAACATGATTATCTCAACTGATGCAGAGAAAGCATTTGATAAAAAAATTCTTTCATGATAAAAATCTTAAAATTTGGTATAGAAGGAACATACACCAACACAAGACAATATATGACAAACCCACAGTTAGAATCATATTGAATAGGGAAAAGCTGGAAGTATTTCCACTAGG